AGGACTTCATCACCACGAAACCAGTATTATATGAAATGCTGAAAGGTATCCTTTAAGAAGAGGAAGAAGAAGAGAAAGGTAAAGATACAAATTAGGAACAACAAATATGCATCTATCAACAAGTGAATCTAAGAATCAAGTGAATGAATAATCTGATGAACAGAATGAACTGTTGATTATAATAGAATTAGGGACATAGAAAGGGAATGGACTAACTATTCTTGGGGGGGAAAGGGGTGTGGGAGATGCGGGAAGTCTGGACAAAAATAGTGCACCTATGGATGTGGACAGTGGGTGGGGAGTGAGGGCGGAGGGTGGCGTGGGAACCGGAAGGAGGGGAGTTATGGGGGGAAAAAAAGAGGAACAAATGTAATAATCTGAACAATAAAGATTATTTAATAATAATGAAAAAATAGGTACTGTATGTACCACGATCACCAAATGCAAGCATGAAAAAACATTAGCAGTTGCCCAAACCGGTTTGGCTCAGTGAATAGAGTGTCGGCCTGCGGACTGAAAGGTCCCAGGTTCGATTCCGGTGGAGGGCATGTACTTTGGTTGCCGGCACATCCTCAATGGGGGGTGGGTAGGAGGCAGCTGATCGATGTTTCTCTTTCATCGATGTTTCTAGCTCTCTATCCCTCTCCCTTCCTCTCTGTAAAAAATCAATAAAATATTAAAAACATTAGCAGTTCATTTCTGCTAAACATAACAGTCATTAAATTGCAAATCTTGGCAAATGTCAGATAAAAAAGAACAAATATTGTATAATTCCACTTACATGAGGTACCTAGAATATGCAAATACATATAAACAGAGAGTGGACTAGAGGTTACTAGGGCCTGGGAGAAGTGGAATGGGAAATTACTGATTAACAGGTACTGATGTTTGGGATAATGAGTAAGTTCTAGAAATAGTGGTAATGGCTGCACAACAATGTGAATGGACTTAAATGCCACTGAATTGTACATTTAAAAATGATTACAGTGACAAATTGTATTTTATGTATACTTTATAATAAAAAAGTCAGCCCAGGCCAGTGTGGCTTGGATGACTAGAGTGTGGTTCATATATCAAAAAGTTGCAGGCTCAATTCCCAGTCAGGGCACAGACAGAAGGCAACCAATCAATGTTCTCTTTCACATCGATGTTTATTTCTCTACTCCCCATACTTTCCCTCTTTCTAACAAATAAGTATATCATCAAGAGAGGATTAAAATAAACACATAAATAAGTCAAATACGCCAAAACCGGTTTGGCTCAGTGATAGAGTGTCAGCCTGCAGACTGAAAGGTCCCAGGTTCGATTCCGGTCAAGGGCATGTACCTGGGATGCGGGCACATCCCCGGTGAGGGATGTGCAGGAGGCGACTCATTGATGGTTCTCTCTCATCGATGTTTCTGACTCTCTATCTCTCTCTCTTCCTCTCTGTAAAAAATCAATAAAATATATTTAAAAAAAAAATAAGTCAAATACATATCAAGAGCTTAAAATACTTTGGCTTACAAAAATGGCCAATTGCAATTAGTCTTCCTAACCCTCTATTTTAAAAAATTTATTAGCTACCTTAATAGGGTAGACCCTCCATTTGTAATATGTCATATACAGGGTGTCCCCAAAAAATGTATGCACACTTTGAATAATTATAAAGGCATAATTTATTAAAAATACATTTCATTTTCAAAATGTAATAGAATCTACAGACATTGTGTATACATTTTGGGGGGAATACCCTATATATATAACACCTCAGCTCTAAACTGAATTTGAATAACCTCTTTTGGTTGAAGACAAGACAGTTCTGATTCAAAACATATGACAGGCAATTGTAAATTAATTCAGAATTATATCTGAAGGAAGAGAACTGCAGAATTTGCATTTGTTGCCAAAGCAGCAGAAGGGAAAAATATAGCCGATACACAGGCAGGCCTTTAGAACCTTATGGGCAACAGGGCTATCCTATCTAATAGACAAACATGGTAATTGATCGTACCTTTGCTACACTTCCCATGAGCTAATCAGAGCGATATGCAAATTAACTGCCAACAAAGAGGGCGTTTAATTTGCATACATAGGCACAATGCTGGGAGGTGAAAGGGGAAGGGTGGAAGAAGCCGCCTGCCACTGATGGTGATCGGAAACCCAGCCCATGATTGGAGAACCAGGGCCACCTTTGCCCACCCCCTGGCCGGTGATTGGTGATCAGAGAAGCCGGGTGGGGCACAGAAGAGGTGGCCGCAAGCAGCCGCCTCTTCCCTGTCCCCCCGGGCCCCCAGGCCGGTGTTTGAAGTACCTGTATTTTTTTTTCAAAGTACCTGTATTTTTAATAATTTCTTGACATGGTAAAAGAATTCAGGTCAAGGGCATGTACCTCGATCCCTGGCCCTGGTTGGGGCCTGTGAAGGAGGCAAGCAATTGATTTGTCTCTTACACTGATGTTTCTCTCTCTCACCCCCCCGTTCCACTCTCTCTAAAAATCAATGGAGAACAAACAAAAAGAGATCTCAAAAAAACATCCTAACTTTATATCTTAAGTAACTAGAAAAAGAATCAAGTAGCCCTAGCCGGTTTGGCTCAGCGAATGGAGCATCGGCCTGCGGACTCAAGGGTCCCAGGTTCGATTCCGGCCAAGGGCATGTACCTTGGTTGCGGGCACATCCCCATGGGGAGTGCGCAGGAAGCAGCTGATTGATGTTTCTCTCTCATCGATGTTTCTAACTATCCCTCTCCCTTCCTTGCTGTAAAAAAATCAATAAAATATATTAAAAAAATAAAAAGAAAAACTAAATGGAAAGCTAGCAAGGAGGAAGGGGGAAAATTAGAGCAGAGTTAAATAAAATGGAAAAAAAATACAGATTCAACAAAACCAAAAGTTGTTTTTAACAGGGTCATGGGAACCCCGAAATTTGCAGAGTTGAACAGAAATGCAGGTGGCCTGGGAATCCTCCAATGTGTAACTGGCACTTAAAAGAACAGTGCCCTGGCGACATGACTCAGTGGTTGAGTGTCAACATATGAACTAGGAGGTAATGGTTCAATTCCTGGTCAAGGCACATGCCCAGATTGTGGGCTCAATCCCCAATGTAGGGTGTTGAGGAGGCAGCCAATTAATGTTTCTCTATCATTGATGTTTCTATCTCTTCTCCCCCTCTGAAATCAATAAAAATGTATTTAAAAATAAAAAATAAAGGGAGGGCAGCCCAGCCAGTGTGGCTCAGTGGTTGAGTGTTGACCCAGGAACCAAGAGGTCACGTGCCTGGGGTTGCAGGATCCATCTCCAGTAGGGGACATGCAGGAGGCAGCCAATCGATGCTGTTTCTCTCTCATTGATGTGTCTATCTTTCGATCCTTCTCCCTTCCTCTCTCTCTCTTTAAAAAAAAATTTTTCAATAAAACCTAGCCTATCTAATAATAGAGAAACATGGTAATTAACCGTAACTTCGCTACCCTTCCCATTGGCTAATCAGGATGATATGTAAATTAACTACCAACCAAGATGGCAGCTGGCAGCCAGACAGCTGAAGTGAACAGGAGGCTTGCTTGCTCCAGTGATAGAGGAAGCCAACGTTCCCCGCATGCCGCTGCCGGCCTCTGAATTGCACTTTAAGAAACCATTTTGCAATTATAGAAGGTAATC